GCAGTGGCCGCCTGGCTCTCCCTCAACCATGTCTCGGTGATGCCGATAATAGCGCTTGTGTGGGTTCTCGCCATTAGTTCGTCCCATTTCCCTCCTAAGCTGCAAGCATTGGTATACCACAAATTGGTAACATCGACCTGCACCATAGGTTCCTCTGAACCTGGACCGCTTGGACCCTCTGGTGGATTACCCGAGGGTCTGTTGTCTACTCTTGTGGGTTCCTGCACCTACCAGGAGATACGGCTTCTAGTCATGGAGACATTTTTAAATGACAGTTCCAGTGACGAACTATCCTGTCCGATTGGCCTCCTAATCTCAATANTTGATGAGGCTTGATGTACTCGATTCTGGTCTCTCACAACTGCGATCTGTTGCTTATCCTGGAGCACCTTCGGAGAAACTCTCGTTTCTAGTGGACTATTCATACTAGTTCCGACCCTGCTCGATACTGACTCATCTTTACTGGCAGCAGGTTTTCCCTTCGGTGAAGATCTACTGAGGGGGGCGATTTCTCTTTTGGTGAGTCGTCTAACCGGTTCCTTCAGTTTTGGGTCGGCTGCTCTATACGCCTCTTTGGATCGAGTAGTATTGACACTAAAGGGGGAATCCGGTGTGATTCTCAATTGCCCCGTAGTGCTCAATTCCACTCTGGCTGCTCTTGCCATAAGCATGTCTCTGCTATGAGTTCCGTGGAAGACTATCAAAAGTTGGCGTGGATGAGGTGACTTGGGACCCTTCCACAGTCCAATCCTATGGCATTTGCTGTATTCTGTGTCCGGTGGCAGCCCTGCCAGTTTAAAGCTATTCATTACATACCTATGGTTCATTTCCCGTCTAGCCCTCGCCTCGTTTACCGCCGATTCTGCAAAATTGTGCAACAGCAGTCTTCTGCTCCTTGCAAAGACCCCTTCATCTTCGCCATTTGTGCCTTCAAATCATCTATTTCTTTCCTTAATGTCTCCCAGCTGGCCTCAGACGGCTTTTTTGTCGGCTTATTCTTTTTCCCCTGGGGTAGCTGCTCTGGGCTTCCCGGAGCTGGTGCCCCCTCACCCTTGGCGTTTCACTGCGCCGCATTCTGGGAGAACTGCTCTTGCCGATCGTTTGCGTCTTGTGTCCTTGACCAAAGAGAGCCTAGCTGTAAGCGAGCGCACTCTTCAGTAAACAATACACAGTGTGCACATCTACTTCAGGCTTTCGTGCTTCGTGTGCAGTTGGTAATCCTGCTTTGTTAAGTTCGAACACAGCTGATGATACCAATCCTGGCACCTATCGCACTGGATACCAGAAATCACAACTTTCTGACAAGCCCTATTACCGCATGTGTTACGGTTGTAATGGTCAGCCATTTTAAAAGTGATTCCTTCTCAAATGGAAAAAAGTATGCAATACAAAATTCCNCAACTACAAAACAGATAAAATCACACCAACGAGCCACACAAAAACGGTCAAAACACTATGGTAAAAAAATACTTGTCGGAGAGTTAAATTCTCCGAATAAAAGTAAACCTTAGCAAACATTAAGATCCGGTAAATTTGTGAAATAACTAAGGTTATTTCACTACTCAACGCAAATAAATTCGTAAGCAGCAGAGCAGTTCACAAATGTAAACCGCGCGGTAACTCACAAGGTAACTGAAGGTAACTAAAGTCCGTCCAAGTCTTACACTTATAATCTGGTCCAGTTATCTCAGTCCATTTGCTTTCGTTCAGTCACTCACTTACTTGCAGACTCAATCTCAAAAACATCATTATGGCGTCATCTCACTTCAATCCCCTTATTTCTATTATTTGCCTCTCTTCTCACCTCAGACTTGGTCTTCTTTAAAGCCTGCTATACTTTTCCAATCGATGCAGCATCCGAAGGAAGCTAACGTATGTTCTCATAAACCTTTCAACAAAAAAATAAACAACTGAATGTCTCGGTTGAATGTACAAGTATGAATTGTATCACATCCGTAAAATTTCACTTATTCCTTATCCAAGTTGTCAATTACCGGACCACCTATTTGGTCCGAAATGTAGAGGAATAGGCTTCAAAATGTGTCGCAATTGGGGATCAACCCGAAAATATGCATATGCGTTGACATTTTATCTGCCCGAAATTCGAAAAAAGCTGCACTCAGAGAGAAACTTGTTTGAAAGAAACTGACCGGGCACGATGCTGGAACTTCCCACCCGAGCATTGTCGTAATCATATCCCAGACTTCGTGAATCCACGAAAAACATGATATTCTCAACCAAAGGGATAAAAGGCACTAGCGGCGCGAAAGCCTTGTGCCCAGGGGGACAGTCACGTCTTGGATACTGAAACAAAAAGTATGAGTAACTCGGCGATGTCTGATCGATGGATAAGTGGCGTTGTTTTTTTCATATTTGGTTAATGTTCAATGGAGTTGATAATTCCTGATATCATGAAGCTGTGTACGATAAGCAATTAGTTAGAAAAACTGAGCAAGCTGCCTAATTGCCGGTGTATCTCGATTTGCACTAATCTACCAGGTGACGGATCAAATAAACTCAAATATATTTCATAACATTATAACGTTTGAACCAGATCGTTTTGTGCGGTCCAAAAGTAATTTGAAACTCTTGAATTCCAGTTATATACAAAATCACATATAGACTATGCACAAAAATATTTTCCCTTATGGGTAAGAAACTAACTAATTTGCAACGCGTCAATCGCAATATTTTGCCAAGGCTACTCATTACCATTGGCAGTATTCGGTCAACTCAAATTTTCCAGACAACATACCATAAAATTCCTATCAATTACTATGAACAACTAACGCATTGTTACATTGTTCTAAGCAAATCTACTACAGCGAAATTTTAGAGAAACAAGCGGCACAATCGCTTAATCAAGAGATTACTTCCAGTGAAATTTACTCAGCCGTAACAACATAAGAAACCGTCAGGAGGCCAAAAATGGGCTAGCTTTTGTTCGTTTACAGGCTAAATACTTTAATTTTCAGATGAACAAGTTAACAGCAACAACATATTCGTTTTTTTCACATCGTCGTCATTTGCACTGCTACGTATCACGGAAAACCCTCCAAACAGTTACCGATCATATGATTTGGCACGATAATGGATCATAGTGCAATGAATTGCTCAAAACATATTCAAATTTAACTGAATAATACGTTTATGCTTTTTAGTTCACTGACTATTTCATTTGATAGCTTCGTTTTTTGAACAGACGGAAAACAATCGGTTTTCAAGAACAAGAGAATGAACAATTCAAAGCTGTTAGGGAATAGAAAGGAGTAAAAGCAAGAGAGAGAGAGAGAGAGAGATTATCAGTAGGATTCAAAGACACGAACTCCGGGTCGGCATAACGGTCCTTCGTACTGGTTGGCCTTCAATAATTATTAAATTTTAAGGGACAGAAAATAGAATAAAAGACAGAAAACACTACTACGTTCAGAGTTAAGAATATAAACGATATTAAAAATATTGCGTGGTGTGAGTTGATGATGCGCAGGACAATTTTTCTTGATTTTGATTTCCCGACTTTAAGTACATAGAAATGGTTTAAAGGCTTGTGCAAAATTGATGGGTGATGTGTAAATAAAATTTCAATAACAAAGGCGAGTTGTGTGATGAGTTCCATCACATTTTCTCGATCCGGCATTAGGTAGGCCGAAGGAAAGAACATAAGTTTATTGATTGAATAATTTGGTCTGCGTTTTAAGTCAACAGTGGAATAGTCGAGGGATGAAGTACTTCAAGAATGTGTAGAACTTATGCGGGAAAAACTGGTGAGACTAGTTGTAAATTAGACTTCTAGATGAAGTTGTTTATGGTATCATACGAATTTTAACGCAATTCATTTGACCGAACTTATACCTGTAAATATCAAACAGTAACTGTTCTGTCTACACCACAAATTTGTCACAATTAACCCCCATCTGTACTTTGGGTTACTATAGGTCTGTATCATGCCTGATGACTTTCATTGAATTTCTATCACTCTACATCCCCAAAAGAATCGAACGCGACGATACAGACTTCAAATGATCATAATAGACAACAACCATTCGATTCCTTCCTCGATTTGGCTTCATCTTATTCAGTAATCTAATGAGATCCATGATTTTTCGTTCCTTTGATTATCTTGGTTATTTGAAATTTTCGGACGAGAAAAATGGATTCATTGAAAAACTCATGATTTAAAGGAATCGTTCACATCTTCGGTGAACATTTTATTCATAGGTGGTCAACAATTTCAATAAAAGCAACCAGTTGGGAAAGAATGAAGTTGTGTTGAGACTGTGTGCCGTATAATGCACTAACATACCTGCTCCAATCCGGGGCGATATTTTCGTAGCCACAGTTCAAATAACTTATCCACAAATGCATGATGCAATATGAATACCGGATCGTTCGGACTTGTGGACACGTCGAACCACGAACCGTTCAAGTAGCTGTGAACCTGGGTGGTGAAGTGGAACGGGTAGTGAATATTGATGCACAAATTACCATCATCAGCATCATCATCATTATCATTAGCAGCAGCAACAACAAATCTTCCGGTTGGTTCAATCAAAAACAAAAATGGAAAACACTTGGCTTCGGTGCTTTTTCAATTAGTTAAATACAACAAAATTACATGGACTGATGTTAAAATGAGCAACACACTGAGGATCACACGTGTGTGACAGTTGGGAACAGTGCTATTCTAGCTCATATCACAAACTAATAATCGTGTGACTTGGCATTATCTTCGCAGCAATTGTTTACAGGAGTGATGTTGCTTGCAACCTTTCTCGATCCATGTTCCTGTATTTTCTGCCAGGATATACGTGTACCGAAAAAATTCAGAATACATTCTGGAAACGGGCGTTTTTGTCTTCTCTGTTCGAAATCATGTGATACTTATTGCGATTTACTTTACTTACTTTCCACACAGGTCATTTGATGGCCAATAGCCAGTCCTAACAAATAAATTATGAGCTTAGTCTGTGGCCCGTAACAAGTTAGCAAAGATGGGTTGTCTTATATCTTGTAAATGAAAAAAGAAAAATGGTCTGGTCAACTGTCCAGTGTCCGAATGGGGAGCATGCTTGCGTTCTGCCTGGAGGTCCCGGGTGTACGTTAATACGGTGAAATATTCATTAAGAATATTTGCCTACTGATTCACCATTCCAGTAGTGTGACTATTGAACCCACATTATTGTACTTCATTTACTTTACGTGGTTTATCGGTCTATTATTGTAGCATATTCCATCCACCAGAAGATTGCGACATTTATCCATCATTTTACACCTTAACACATCCTTTATTTCCTACATGATATCAAATGTAAATTTCAACCCGTATAACAACACTGACACTTGTTTATATTGAAGAAACGTCGACTACAACCAGCCGTGTCGCATTTCAGAGCGGGACCCCGAGCTCGCAAAACAACCAAGTTACCGCTGGTTAAACCAGAAGACTTGTGGTTGTTGTAGACGTCCATTGAGTTACAGTGGCACAGAGAACGTACCGACACCAACTAACGAGAGTTTGCGTTAAAGCACGAAGGCACGAGAACCAACGAGCGCGGTAATCAGCAAAACGGATCGAAAGCGAAAAGTGAAAGTTCTCTCGCGGAAGGATGCAGCAGCTTCCGGTCGTATAAAACAAACGTCACATGGCGTTGGTACTGAAGTGAAAATGTAAACATAGATTTGGATTTTAGAGAGAAAATGATGTCCGGCAAAAGTCCGATATGGTCCGGTTTTCACCGTACCTTCGGGCACACTACAATATCACTCGTTCATACAAACGCATTCCGACGAGCACATTTTGAAGACACCAAATAACAGCGTCAACAGATAACACAATATGTTAACGTCTTAGACTTGCTGGATTGCAAACTTTGGTTGTACGTTATTATTTCGTTGTGCAGGATTGCTCATGTATTATAGAACCGTGCCTCACGAATCTTGGTTGTTGATTCTGCATCCTGTATCCGTTGGGACGCGAAGTAAACCAAGTTACGAATCGGACTTAGAAAGATAGCTTGCAGCTAAGCCGACAATAACTCTGTTGAACATATTGGGAAGAGGTCGATTAAGGACGACTGAATAGTTACTACACCGGGTTCAAACTCCGGTTGGGTCGATGGATTCGCACTGCTGATGAGACCCAGTCAGGTCGAAACAGCTCCAAGCTTTTTAGTTCACGCTTCATTTGATCTATACGCGACGAATATCCCCTTTGAAATAAATGATAGTGACTCAGTTCAATCCATTTCCTTAGTCAAAAATTTAAGTTCATGAAGACTGTAAGATCACATGTACACCATCGTCGATTCCATCACAGTCCAAATGAATAGTTGCTTTGTGTGTCCGGAAACACATTCTCAGCTCACTCGGGTTGTCAAGGTCATCTATCACTAATTCTTATTGCGTAATGCGCATTCGGATCAAAATACATCGTATTAATTTTTCATTCTGGAGCCTATCTATTTTACTGCGGTGATGCTTTCTCGTAAGTATTTAGGAACAGAGCTGAAATTTTCACATTTCAGGTAAAGGCCTGTTCATGGCAGACATTCCACGCCAGACCGAGATACTGCGATCAATCAAACAGCAAAAATTGCTCGAATTTGGAAACTGTGAGCATCACGTTGTTTGTGAAAGAACTGCATTTAATACAAATCCGGAGTCACACTGTGGTGGATATATTCTCACAGCAGTTGAAAGAAGCAAGGTTGCTCACTGCTGGACTGCATCGGGGAAAATTCTTTTGATGGAAGTCTTACCATGCTTCAAATATTGTGTCAAACTGGTTGCACCTGATGAGCTAGATAACCAACATTGAAGGCTGGTGGTTTCAAACGCAATATTTCAAGATGTGCGGCGTCTGTTATACTGTTTGCACTTATGAATAAATAGATGCATCAAGCGTGCAAAAGAGACGTACTACGGACCATAAGCATGTGAGCGCGTGGTACAGTTGAACGTTGATTGGGAACCTAAAAACATTGTGACCGGTAACAACAGATTGAACGTGCGGGATCTAGTGCTTGATACTCGTTGCTGTGGAAGAAAAGACCGTTTTATTCACAAATCTCTAATCTG